TTTCCTATATGAGTATATGTGAATTGGTATCAAAATGTGTTGGAATTTAAACCTTCATTATGTAATTGTGTTAAACACATTTCCATGGGTGTATTAACCATTAGTATATCTTTTTTTACCAAGTCTATATATATATATATATACACACACACACACACACATATATATATACAGATATGTAGATAAATAGATATATAGATAGGTTGTATGTTTGCTTATATAGATACAATGTGTATATCATTGACAGAAATCTTTACATGTTATTGATAGGAGTCCTTTGTGAAACATATGTATTGAGGATATTTTATCTTATTACAGGATTTACCTGTTCTATTTTTACTATCCTCTGGTAATCAGAAATTGTTTTTTCTAAGTAAAATATATAATTTTTTCTATTATGTTTCATCATTTTGTTACTTGTACAAAACATATATCTGCTTATTCCAAGATCAAAAAGCCATACTCCTGTATTAGAAAGGGTTCTCGAGAGAGACAGAACAAATAGGATATATAAAGGTATATGAGAAGACTTACTATGGGAATTGGCTCACATGACTATGGAATCCAAGACATGCTGTTTGCAAGCTGAAGAACCAGGAAAGCCAGTAATGTAACTCAGCTTCTTTGGAAGGCCTGAAAGCAAGGGAAACCTATGATGTAACTCCCAGTTTGAGACTGAAAATATTAGAAGCTTTTATGTCTGAGGGCAGGAGAAGATGAATATTCCAGCTCTTCCTGAAACACTCTCATAGACACAGCCAGAAATGTTTTTTTGAACCAGCTATTTGGGTATCCCTTAACCAAGGCAAGTTGTCACATAAAAGTAGTAATCACAACTCTTAGATTTTCGTTTAAAGATGTGATGCTTAATATTGAGTGTCAACTTGAAGGATGCAATCCTGGATGTGTCTGTGATTGTGTTGTAGAGGAGATGAACATTTGAGTTAGTGGACTGGGAGAGGCAGACCCACTCTTAACCTATGGGCACATCCCCTTGGCTGCCAGCACAGCTAGAAAAAAGCAGGCAGAAGAAAATGGAATGAGCAGAATTGCTGAGTCTTCTGGCCTCCATCTTTCTCCTGTGCTGGATGCTTCCTGCCCTGAACATCAGACTCCAATTTCTTTAGCTTTTGGACTTTTGGACTTACACTAGTGGTTTGCCAAGGACTCTCAGGCCTTCGACCACAGACTGAAATCTGCACTGTCAGCTTCCCTACTTTTGAGATTTTGGAACTTGGACTGATCCATTACCGGCTTCCTTGCTCCTCAGCTTGCAGATGGCCTATCTTAAAATTTTACCTTGTGATTGTGTGTGTCAATTCTCTTCTAAATTCCCTCTCATATATACATATATCCTATTAGTGTTGTCCCTCTAGATTACTCTGACTAATATAGAAGGTTTATCATTCTAGTTGGTTTAGGTTTGTATTTAAACTTGCCAAGTATATGTGTGTGCAAACTTAGTCAATATATATTTTATATTAAAATATTTGGACATTTAAGTCTATAAAAATTTTTGGCCTTTTTCTCAACAAATATTTCGTCAAGCCCATTACCCTTTTCTCTTTCCTCACTGTCTGGGAACCTAATTACACATGTGTTAAACATTTGATTTCATAGATCTCAGACCCTCTCTTTATTTTATTATTATTTTTGTGCCTCAACTTGGTTAATATTTAGTGACTTGTTTTCAAGATCACCATCCTTTTCTCTCTGCTGTTAAGATATAGGAACTTAACCTATACTAGAGGTAGTTCTGTGTTTTTCTTTTTTGTCTATTTTGATTCAATTAATCACTGGCTTCAAAAATTTTTCAACAGAATATGACTTTTTATAAGGTAAGAGTCGGGGTCTGAGTACTGGTGATACTCCCAAGGTTCCTCTCTGCTTTATAACTCAGCTGTCCTCTTTTGGGGATGATCAGGTGTGTTCTTGAACCTCCAGCCCACTTCTAGCTTTATGTACCTCAGAAAGTCTCTCTTGATCTTGCTATCATTTTGTGGCTTTTATTGGCACTGATTTCACTTGATGAAGCTTTGATATCCTTGGGGGGATTTCTCTTAGCTATGCTGGTGTTTATACCGCCTTTCTGGGACTCTTGCTGGGAACTCAGCAAAGCCTTTCTGTTCCTCTGGGGCACCTCTCTGGGCTCTCTTTTTCTGTTCCCAGTAACTTGCAGACTACTATCATGCACTCCCAGAAAGAGCTCCTGAACTTTGAGAAATTTCTCTCAATTTTTCCAGTACTCCCCTCAATGCTTGATGAGCTGTTGCTGTTCATTCAGAAAGGGCTCACTGTGTACATTGAGGAATTTCCCTTAGTTCTTTTCACCTGGTTCTACTTAAATGAGCCACTATTTTGCTCTTGCAAGGTATAACTAGATATACCTCAGGTTGTTTCTCTCAGCATTTCTACTCTTCCCTAAAATGCCAGCTGCTGACTTTCAGTTTATAAATATATTTTCCTAGGAGTTCTTTCGCAGTGCAATATCCTTGCTTCTACTTATGATGTACTCATGCTCCGCACTTGGCAAAAACTCTCTAAGACAGAGTTGGCAAGTGAATTACTGTGATTGGCATTCCTCAAAATTGTAATTGGTTAGGCTAATTTTAAAGATATGACCTTTAAAAGTTACACAGATTACTCCTTACCACAGTTTATATAGTGTTGGCTTCTCATTGTGCCATGCTCAAAATTGTTAGCAGCTGTAGATTTCTTGCCTAAAATTTATTTCATTTAAGTTTCTTTGCATCCACAGATCACTGATTTATTTTATTAGATTTCTTTATTGTTATTGCAGGAATAATGCTCTCTTGCAAGAATCATAATGGAAAGCCAAATTGTATGTGTTTCACCTTCCTAAATTTTTTTCTTTATGGACTAAGTGCTTTAGGGAGATAGATATTATTATTTTATAGATCCATCTACTATAAAACTAGATTTTTCCAAAAAAAATCTCAAATTTATGATGTATAATGAAATTATATATGCTGGTCCTAGAATATAGCAAATAAGAACAATCTTGAAAGAATCTGCGATTAGAGAAATATAAAATTAACAGTTTAATTTATTTGAGCTGTAATGAGTAATCTGTTTCTGGCCCTTTTCCCGTTTTAAATTCAGTGGCTCTTAACTTAATAAAATGAAATAAAAGTTGGGCTTTTTATATGTCATTGGGGCTTTTCTGTTGCAGTTCGTCAATGAAGCACTAATGTTCTGCCTAGGTATAATAACTTTCTCTACCCCTACTTTTAAAACACCAATTATAGTAATGCTGTATTATAGCATATCATTAAAACTAATTATTAAAAAAAAGAATTACCCAAAAAATGTATAACTAGAGGTACCTGAGGTTTATTTGATGATGAAGAAGTGGTGTGTTTCTAGATAAGTAGACTAAAGTTGGGGTCCCATTTCACTTACACTCTTTATATTGTTCACAAGAAAGAGTACAAGCCTTCTTGAAAATATGTACCTAAAATCTATTAAAAGTCATTATATCTTGCCCTTATACTGATTTTACTGATATAGTTATGATCTTTATAACCTTACTCTACTCAAGAGGGAAAATATTTTTTTAAATAATTTTCCAGTTACATGAGTGTAATAAATATTTTTGTGATTAAAGAAGGTCATTGACTTCACATTTACATTCAAAACGGTTTTCTTATTTAAAAGATGATTGTTCTACTAATGTCATTGTTTATAGAAGTGACAACATCTGAAATTTGAATTTAATGAAAACAAATTGTATTATGAGAACATAGGTATAATGACATAAATTTGTGTTTCTTAAAATGTATGTTTCATCTAAGTTGTTGGCAAAGCTGTGGGTACTTTAGGGATTATCTAATTCAGTGATTCTAAAGCTTTTGGTTTTAGCATCCCGGTACACTATTAAGTTTTATATACCTAAAGAGCTTTAGTCTATATTAGTTATATGTATCAACAGTTACAATATTAAACTCTAAGAAGTTTAAACAATATGTGCTCATTATTTTACTTAAAAATAACAATTTAAGTATACGACACGTTATATAATGTTAACATAGTTGATATTTTGCGAAAGATAACTTTATTTTCGAAAATATTTAGTCCATTCTCCTTAATGTTTATCTTGATACAGGTCAACTGGATTTTCATATTAACTTCTCATTCAGTCTATTGCAGGATCACATATAACATAGTCTCAGAAAATCTTTACCGTATACTCTTGAGTTAAGGACTAAAAAGGCAAATTATATCTTCGATTTAGGATCAAAATGATTTTAACCAGACACATACCCTGAAATAGTTTGGTGATCCCTGAAGTATGCCTAGACCTCACTTTTAGAAGTACTAATCTAAAGTTAACAGTGTAAAAATCTTAAATATAATTAAGTTATCTTAGAGTTTCTAGACAATCCTCCCATGAAGGCTTTTCAAATGATTGATACTGCTATGGTTTTCTCTTTTGGTTTTGAAAATTTCTCCAAAGGACTTGCACTGTGAGAATTCTCCAACCTCTTTTCAAAGTCAAATTTAATCACATAATATCATGTCCCTAAACTAACTACATTTTTTAGTTAATAGTTATACGTAGAGGGCAAAATGATGCATTGTATCAATTTTATACAATAAATAAATAATTTACATTTTATTTTTGAATTAAGCTATGTTTAATTTCTGTTCTTTCCACCATGGTGCTCAATGGGTTCTCAATGTTTATTGAATTAACTTTACTTAAATACCTATTAATTAAATACACGCCTACTTTGTGAACGGCAGCTTCTGACATGGCTCTCAATAACCCTGCCTCCCCGTATTTATTACGTTATTTTTTCCCTTAAATGTGGGCTAGACTTACTGAATTGCTTCTGACTAATAGAATTCAGTAAAGAGATATTCCATTATAGGCTTACAAAAGACTGTTTACAGGTTGTCTCCAAGACTTTTGTTTTGCTTGATCTCTCTCTGTTGTTGTCTCATGCCTTCTCACTTGCTCAATCTGATGAAACCAGATTCCATGTTGCAAGATAGTCCACTGAGAGACCCACATGGCTAGTAATGGAGGAAGGCCTCCAGACAAAACTTTGTGAACAGCTGAGGCCTCAGTTCAACAAACGCATCCCTGAAGAAACTGAGTCCAGCCAACAAACACAAGAGTCAGCAAGGAAGAGGATCCTTTCGAGTTGTCTTGAGTTGACTACAGCCTGTGAGAAACCCAAGGTCAGAAGACTCAGTGAGACGTACTTAGTTTCCTGGTCCACAGGATCTGTGAAATTATAACTGTTGTTAATTTAAGCCACTAAATTTTTGGGGTAATTTGTTACACAGTAATAAATAGCTAATGCACTTAGTAAGTATCGTGATAAGGATTTAAAGTGAATAGAGCAAAAACACTGCCCTTAAGGATCCTCAAAGGCTAATGGGCAACATAGTTCACAATATAGTAAGTTGTAGTTTCAGAGAGAACAAACTCAATGCCTAGTTGATAAAACCCCCGTTACTTAATCAAGTTCTTTTACAATGGAATATTTGACATCATAATGTTTTTATCTTAAACTCTGCATTTCTTTACATTTTATGCAAATAAATATATTCTAATACAATATGATGTTATACTTTAAAGATTTTTGGGTGTTTTTATCACAATTTTCAACAATATTTGTCAATAGCTATTTCTATTCTATTCTTACCCCTATTTGTATCCCTATATATCCTCATATCTATATTTATATCTATATATCATCTGTATCTCTTTTTATGTTTATGTAAATTTAAATTGAAAATATGTTTACTTCTCATGACAATAAGTATCTAAGCATTTTGAAAGCATCTTCTGAAATCAGGTATCATTAAAATGATAATAATAAGCATACAACAGATATATTACATGTTTGATAAATATTAAATATAAAAATAAAATTCTAAAACTGAACATTATTTAAATTGACATGCCTAGTGTTAAGATTATTATACATATCCCTAGATGTTATTACTTCCTGCAAGAGTAAGACAGGATTTGGCATCATCAAATATTTAGATTTTCATAGTGCAGTAGCTAAGAAATGACTTGAATATAAGCAGAAAGATTTAGAAAGTTTTGTTATGACAGTGCCACTCAATTTTTTTATCCTTTTTATGCTATGTGCCAAGAATGTCATATATGTTATTCAAATTATTTCAAATGCAAATAATGGTAAAGCATGTTTATTTCAAACAATTAATTACCTAGTTGTTATCCTTTACATTCAATACTTCAAATTATTCACTTAGTTACTGAAATACAAGCTCCATGAAGCCAGATAATTCTTTCTGTTTTGTTTACCTATGCATTCCTGTAGTAAGAGCACCATAATAAGAATAGGAGTGAGTGAGAAGTTATACTTTTATTTATTTAGTTATTTATTTTGGTAGAAGTGGTAGAATTCTGAGTATAAAGAAAGGTTGCTGCATATTGTATGATAATGAGCCTTTTCTCAGGCAGATTCATTTATGAGTGAATATATATTGAAAAGATTTGAAGACTGGTGAACTTAAAGTGTAATACACTTGTGCCCCCTTGCTGCACTCCAAGGGCCTGATTACTATAGGATGAACACTGCTGAACAAGAATAGAACACTTCATTAGGACTTTTTCCTTCTTACCGTCCTCAACAAATTTCACTCTTAAAACAATTCCAGGACTTATAAAAGTATTTGTATTTTGTGAAACCCTTCTTCTGTGATCTTTTAGATTGTTGATTTATTTCCTAAACTTCAAGTAGAATCCCAATTCTCATTCATATACACCTCTAATTGTACTGACAGTACTAAAGACTAGCTGTGTCATTGATGTTCTCAATCATACAAGCCATAAATCTGGAAGTCATCTTAAAGCCTCCATCAGTTAGGTCCACTGTAGCTAATAAATCATCACAGTCTATCTGTATTACTATCAAATAAATTAGTAGACAGTTTAAAGTCTCTTCCCTCCTTCATAGAGTTAGTTTCATTGCCACAATGTGGGCAGTCATATCCCCTTTCCTGGCCTATTGCAAAATTTCCTAAATGTTCTCCCTTCCTTTAAATGTATTTGCAGTTGTAATCCACTTTTCAAAATGCTGTTCCTATTGTCACTGTAAAGTCAATGTCATCTCTTCTCAACATTCTTCAATGAGTACCCATTACTTATATGATAAAAAAAAAAAAAGCTACATTAAGCATCCTACTCTGCATGACTCTCCATGGTATGATTTATATGTTCTGACATGAATAAGTATTTACCATAACTTTTTATTAATAAAACAATGTTTTATCTGTTACACTCAACCTCCCATTTAGCATGCAGCAATAAATATAGCAATACATAGTTTTCCACAGCTTTTTCTCAGTTTCCTATGCATTTTTCTTGATTCTCTCCACTATTCTATCACCCTTCATGTGCTCCTCAGCAACAATTAAGTGGTGTCTATTATGTGAGTATTACAATGCTAAACCTTGGAGATAAAATTATGAAGTCACTGACTTTGGAGGAGTGCACAGTTTAATGATAAGGAATACTGTCTCTCTCCTAATTTTATACCTTGAGATTTTACTTCTATTCTTAAGTCTCATCTTAAATATATTACCTCTTATTAATTAACCTGACCTTTTCAGGAAGAATTAATTATTTCCCTTATGGCCAACATGTTTCTTTTAAACACATCCAGTATACATTTAGAATATTGTATTTTAAATGTTTACATGTCTAACATTTCACTGGGTTGTAAACTTCAAGTTTGGTTTTTTTTTTTTTAAATTTCAGTTTCACCTTCCATGTAAATTTGAGTACATAGTACAAGCTTAATAATATTCATTGAGTTAAAGGTGCTTGAGTGCTAAACCTCTGAAAATATTTGTAAACACTTGCAATCTATTTTCTTTACTTCTCAGATCATATTTAAGTTGTTGGGTTATGTTAGAAGATTGCAGAATTTGATGAAAACAACGTCTTATTAGTGAAAATCAATGATAATATATAACCACATCCTTGTCAATGTCAAGAGATGTTAAATTTTAATGAAACTGACATTAAGTTTCAGTTAAACTTTTCACTTTAAAAATGTACTTCAGAAAGTGTTATAAAATAGAATGGGAAAGTGAGGTTTGTGATCTGTATCTCCTGACTTCTAAAACAATCAATTCTTACTTAACTAGAGAATAATATTTTCTCTTTTTTATTCATGTGTTTTACTGCCAACCAAAGAACAGATTTCTTTTCTCTGTCCCTTTATTCACAGTAGGGAAAAAAAATCCTTTCTGAAGTGTTCATAAATTTGGTTATCTAAGGCATAATTAGTAGTTCACAATGAAAAAAACATTACTATCACTGCATAATTAGTAAGTGCCTACTATGTAAATTATGGTTTGCTTTTCTGTCCATCACCAATTTAAGATGATTTTAATTGCAAGAAATAGAAAACTCAATTCCAACTTATTTAAACAATAAGGAGAATATGTTGACTCATATAATTAAAATTTCTAGGTACAGTTTGCTGAAGGCTCTGGCACATTTGCTTAAAATTCTCTAAGCTTGTGATCCCCTGTATCAGTTTCTTCTTCAAATTGGCTTCTACCACTTTAGCAAATTGGCTTCAGCAATTACAAGTCTCAAGTTAACAGACTGTGTTGTAGAGAACAAATTTTGCATGGTATGAACCATGACTGGACTTAATATCCTAGCCACAGGGATACCATGTGTCTCCATCAGTTCAGGCTGCTACAATAAATTACAGCAGACTGGGTGACATAAACAATCAACATTTATTTTTCACATTTCTGAAGTCTGGGAAGTCCAAGATCAAGGTGCCAGCAGATTCAGCATTTGGTGAGCTAGTCTCTGGTTTGAAAGTAGCTGTCTTCTTGTATCCTCACATGGTGGAGAGTATAGAGAGCAAGCAAGCTCTCTCTCCAGTCATCTGTTTATTATGGCACTAATCCCACTCATGAGGGCACCACCTTCATGACCTAATCTTCACTCAAATGCCCTGCTTTCTAATACCATCACGTTGGGGGTTATAATTTCAACATGTGAATTTGGGTGGTATGAACTAGTCAGAATAATTGTATTGATTGATAGAATAGGAATTTCACTGGCCTGTGCATTGGAAAACGTATTTTCTAAACACACCTTATTCACCCAATAACTTATATTCCTTGAGTAAACATTTACTTTCTACTAAACGTTGCTTTTGATTTGTTTATAAAAGTGACTGGCATATATTTGTGCTCAATCTATAAGACTAAGCATGGAAGAGGGAAGATGTGTGGTTCCTAAACTATGTGCTGAGGGGTCCTGCAACCTCTCAGTAAACTTATAGGGGTACTTGGTATATTTACATTTTTAGGGGAAGCACAGTATCAGCTTTTGCATACCACACAAACTAATCATATTACGTGCTATGCACATTACTACTTTAAAAGGGGAATTCTTAGGTATTTCCACTGTTCAGGAAGACTGTGAAAAATCAATAGAGACAGTTAACGTAATGTCCTACAGTTTCATCTATGTCGTTACAAAGTACACTAAGAACTAAGGACATCTGGGAATCTGTGAAATCTATAATTTTTGCACTGCTGTTGAATATAAACCCAGAAGACTAATTAAAAGTGGATTTAGTTGTTCGAAATGTGATGTATCTGTTTTAAGTGAGAAAAATGGTGGAATAGATGTGTGGATGACAATTACAATGAACAGCATAAACTATGAGGTAAGGGGAAATATTAAACTAATTCACTATATAAAAGTCACTGATGGTTAGAATTAATTAAATGAAGTAGCTTAAAATAAAATTCCCTAGAATATACTTGAATCACTCTATTTAGATTACCAATTTTCCCACATTGGTTATTATATCTTTTCAGCATATAAAGATGCTTCCATTTCATATATGTTAAAAAAAATTCTCATGACTTTACTATTCCTACAGCTTTATTTATTTCTGTCTTTGATTTGATAGTACAATTCCTCATAAGAATCATCCGTATATGCAATTCAATTTCTCTTCTTCCATAGTTTCTTAAACCCACTCCAATAATACTTTCACCGCCATCCATAATCTGTGGTTTGGTTTGGTTTTTCCTATTAATTCACTGGGCATGTCTTCTCATTTTCCTCTGTTAGTATTCTCATCTCTAAGAATTCTTGAAACAAAAGGCCTTGGGTCGCTCTCTCTCTCTCTCTCTCTATGCTAGTGTATTGATGATCAAATTCAATTTTATGGTTCTAAACAGAATCTACATGATGAAAACTTTCAAATATATACATCAGTACTTTAGTATTCTCCTTTAATCATAAGTTCATATATATAATTAACTATTAGATATGTCAACTTGATAATTTAAGTAGAATCTTAAACTTATATCCTTAAATTACTTCCAGTTACCTCCTGATACCCCACACGGAAACAGGCATAATATCCCCTACCACAATGCATAGCAATTCCAGTTTTTTAATTCTTCATGGAAAAATTTTGACAGCACATTCTTCATTCTTTTACCTATGACAAGTCTAGATACAGACCTTCCAAATTTTCTTTTTTTATTTGATTCATAAATGATTAGCTGAACCATTCTGTCTTCACTCATCAATTAAACAAAATGATTTGACTGAATTTTGTTTAAGCTTCTCTTCTTTACCCAGACTCTAAACATATCTCCTATATAATAATAATTGTAGATA